CTTTTTTTTTTCTAACAGTAAAGTTCACCCTGTAAAAGGCTCGGGGCTACTCAAGGTAGAGGGATATGTTAAGATGTAATTTATATGGATAGGAGAGGAAGATAATGGTTGACTCTATATTTGATTTTTAGTGATTGGGGAAGCATCCTCTTGGGAGTCTGTTCCATAGGACATTGATTCGCGGGAAAAAAGTTGTCTTAGTGCAGCTTACTTCTCGCCTATGGAATACGGAGAGAATGTGGGTGGGTTGCTACTATGTCAATGGCATGGCCGGTCCTAGCCGTGATGGTTAGACCTGACAGAATCATGGAATATAGTTCGTCTGAGCACTTTCCATGGAGATAGCGATAGAGTAGTGAAAGACTCGCCACATCTCACCTGTGTGTTTGTGTGTGTGTGTGTGTGTGTGAGAGAGAGAGAGAGAGAGAGAGAGAGGTTAGAGTGTGGAAAATAATTCTCCTCCCACAAGGATCCAGAGACGCTTTTGAACTCTATCATGACTGGAAAGTGAGGTCTGGGCAGCTCCTGCCTAAATATGGCAACAGTATTTTTCGGCCTGAATTGGCTTTTATAAAAGTAGATGATATCATCAGTCAAGTACTTACGAAAGCGGTACAGGGAGACGATCATTTAACCTGAATCTTTAGCGATGGATCTTATATAGGAATTCCATTTAAGGTCGGGTGTGAGTTTGAGGCCCAATATCCTCTCAAATGCACAGGTACATCTGTTCATCGCAACTGCCGGTAGTTCAGGGTCTGATAGGCAATGATGGCATGTGATCAGTTTTTTTTTTGTTTTTGTAATTTTGTATCGCCAATTTATAAAATATGAAGAAGTATTGCATTTTTTTAGACCTAGAGGACTCATTTGCTTATCACCATTTTTAATCCGTGATCTGAGAAAACAGTTTATATATACAGATAATATTTTAGACATTTCTGAATTACTTGGATGACATGCATAACATTCATATTAAAACCAAGGAAGACATCAAAATTTCGTTCGTTTTATTAAATAAAATACAAGATATCTTAATTTTATTTTGTATATTGAATTTATTAAACGAATGTGTTTATCATGTTGCGCCATTATCTACTGATAGACTTTTGGCAACTTCCTAATTGTCTCCCTCCACAAAATTGAATCTTTCTCAAATAAATACTCTGACGTTTGACGTTTTCCATAAAAATTGTTTTTTTATAATTAAAACATTTCTTTGACGACTGGGGAGACGGTATCTGATGAATACAGAGGAGGAGCAAAAATTTCCCAGCTATGTTATTTTAAAAATGCCTAATCTGTAAAAAAAGAAATAAATCTATAAAGTTTAATTTTATCCTGATGTAATATTCCACTTTTTACTAATTCTTGAGAATTGCATTTCGTCGTTGTCGTCGTTGTTGTTGCTCTTCTCCTTCTTCTTTGCACCGTGTCCCATTAGAACGTTGGCGATCATGGCTCTCCCCACTATTCTGTCCTTTGTAGATCTTAATATACATTCACTTTTTCTTATCTCTCACTAAACTTTGCGCCGCCATCCATTTACGTACGTCCACTAGGCCCCAGGGGTCATGCGTTGTTGTTTTACTCTGTCTTTTCTCATTATGTGACCTAGACATTTCAGCTGTCTCTTCCTGATGTTAAGTATAAGTGTCCTTTTTTTCCCCATTTTCTCTAAAAGCTCGACGTTTCTCACATGTTCAGTCCATGGTATTCTCAGCAGCTTTTTGTAGAAACACATTTTTATTGCTTCAAGTCTCTTCTTCATCTTTGAGAAGATTTCTCTTGATTCATTTCCATATATGGTGATTGATATTACATAATATTTCAGTGCTGGATTTGGCTGTCTCCATTTAATAACATTAATTGTTCTCAAGGAATCTCTTCATCTGTCTGCTAACAACCTCAGTTTGCTACTTGAATGTAAAACGTTGTTCAGAGAGAAGTTTCCATCACAAAACTTAATGAGCCATTTTTGACTTGTTTGATCCTTTACATTAACTTCTCCATTAACATTATAATATAATCGATGTATTTTGTTAGATAACTTAAAATAAAAACGTATAAAACACTGAAAAATATTTTTTTTCTTTCAATTTCAATTTGAATTGTTCTCTACAAATTGTACTTATTTATATGCTATGTTATTTGGATGATGCAGCCAAATGGAACTGGGGGGGGTTGCATCTAGATATTTCTGGATATCCTTAATAGGAGACCACCAGGGTGGACTGGGTTAAATAATCTTATGATATTTCTAACTGGGTCTCACTTGCAAAGGTTATGCGTGGTTTTTGTTAAATCCTGATTCTAATTCGCGCACATTTGGCTGCGAGACATGTGCATGGTATACACTTATCAGATCATATATCCTGTTGAGAAGCGTATATTTGAACTAGGCGTTTTTATTACATACTATTACGTCATTTTCGGATGCTATGTTTACAACAACAACAACAAAATCAAAACAACAACAACAACATAATAATAATAATAATAATAATAATGTACACCCTTATCAGAGTGGTTGTCTTAATGGTTCTGTTAGTTTTCCTATATATATATATATATATATATATATATATATATATATTCCCGATTCTCTTCACTAGCAGTTGGCTCTCTCATTCAGCAACAACAGCAACAATGGCAACACCACCAACAACAATAATAATAATAATAATAATGAAGTGTGCCAAAGAATATGAAAGAAAGAAGAAACTTTTTATTCCGTATTAAATGAAGCCAAGACATTCAAAATGGAGTTTCAAGTTAATGAAGAAGAGCATGTAAGCGCTATAATGTACCTACTGTAGCGGCAAAGAACCTGCAAAAAATGCAAAACCAAATGCAATGGAAGAAAAGCAGAAACGTTGGCAAGATAAACCTCTTCAATGTCAATACTCTGCTCGTGCCAAACAATTTGATGCAGACAAACCCCATACTCATCAATGGTTGTGTCGTGCAGGAATGAAAGCTGAAACCGAACGTTTTTTGTTTCTGCTGCAAAAGACCAATGCTTCTTAACTTGAAACTACCAAGAAATCAGACGGAAAAAATGTGTTTAGCCGAAAGGTACATTCCGTGATGAATATTCAAAAACAATCTTGTATCATGTTCCACTGAATATAGAAATCGGTATGACAGTGTAGTGCAATATCTACACTGGAAAATCTCTAAATTTTACGGGAAATAAATTGCAAGGAATTGGTATGAACACCACCCAAACCCGGTTGCAAACAAAGCTCTTGTAACAACTTTATGGGGCTTTAAAAAACACAAAACAATCAAGAAATCGTGATTAAAGTTACTGCAGCTTGTAATATATGTCTGAAGATTTTCAAACAACGATAAAATACAAAGATCTTCAAGTGAAAAATGTGTAACATGAAGACATCCATCATTCCAATTGTAGTTGTGGCTCTAGGTTTGATTGAAAAAAGTTCTGATAAACTCATTGGATTGATCACTGGTAGCCCATGCCCTACAAAATACAAAAAAATGTTCTTACAATTGCAGCCCTCACCTTTAAAAAAGGGCTTTATCTATGTAAAACTATGTGTGGCCTTAGGTTCTTTCATTTTTATTTATTTTACAAGATTTTCAGTAGAAAATGTCATGATGCCATTTCTGACCTTAGGTCTCATGTTGGGACCCGAAAAGAAGGAGGAGGAGGAGGAGCGGGAGGAGGAGAAGGAGAAGAATAAGAAGAAAAAGATGAGCTATCTGATAGAAGACCAGTGTTTATTTGATACAAAAATTGAAAGCAAATTAAAGATGACCGACATCTACAATGATTTAAGAAGGTTTTTAAAGGACTAGTATATAGTATCAATGACTGTTGGTGGATTGGGGGCGTTAACAAATAAAGAAATCTGCAGATATTGCATTGGGATTTGGAAATCGAGCCCTCACAAAAAGGAAGCCAGCTCGGAACGTCAAAGAGTACTTCGATAAGCACCGGATGTAGACTGTCGGCGGAAAGAACAAATGGCCGGATTATTTTCTGACGTCACAGGAGTTGACCTGAAAATAAAATGCTGGCAAAGCTATCAACATCATATTTTGTACGCAAGCGAAATAACAGAAAAAAAAGTCTAATTATTGACTTCCATTTCTGTTTAAATCTCTGAAATTCAAAAGTAGGATGACCTCCAAAATGAAGATTTATTTGTCTGTTTAGGTTTATACCTTTTTAACTTTCGTTCTTTTCTTTTCTTGTTGATTTTTTTTATATTTTTCATTTCAACTCCAAGTCTCGATGTAAATCCTTTATTTTATATAAGATCCCCTCTCTCCGTTTCGCTCTATAAAGCAAGGCTTCTCAAGCTGTTATTGATTTATTTTTATTGACATCGAATTAAAATAGTTCTTTTTCAAAGGTTGGTTGCCAAAATAAGCGAATTTTTATGATTTAAAAAATAAATTAAAAAACAAAATATGCGCAAATATCTTCATGAAACCAATAGAGGAGCATTTAAATATGGCAGGAAAATGAGAAAGATAAAAAAATATAGTAAATGTAACTTAATAAATAAATAAAAAAATGAAACGAACACAAACACATCAAGTAGAATTCGGGCAATGAATTTGATTGGTAGACAAAACGATTTTTATATAAAACAAAAAACAAAAAAAAAAACAACCGAAATAGCATATACGCTGGTTTTCCTTACAATAAGTCGATACTTAAACTTCCATACGCACGCGACTGTATTTGGAAACGTACTTTGCAGCAAGAAAAACATTCCTATATATATGCAGGTATGTATATAAATATCTGATTGTGTGTACGCGTGTTTGTGTGTAACGAGAGAATAAGTATGTATGTTTATGTAAGAGTGCATACTCTTGTTGAAGAAACTGAATGCGATTACGTCATTGCAAAAGGTGGCATCTGCATATTTTTGGGCACGTGAATTCTTACGTCACAGGTAGGTATGTGCACGAACGCCCGCTCGCTCGCACCACATTATACCTGCTTCGTATGAGAAAGATCAAGAAATGAATATAGTCAGGAGGAGAAAAAAAGAAGTACATGGGTTAGAGAAAGAGAGAGAGTGAAAAGAATGAATGTGAAAAGGCTGTGAGAAAAAATAAAAAACGAAGGGAAAAGGAGAAATAAAAGCGGTAAAGAGAGGAAAATGAAGGGGAGGAATTGGTTTTAAAAGACGGCAAAAGTGAAGTAAAGAAGAGAAGAACAGAAGAGTAAAGAAAGAAAGAAAGAAGAGAAGAACAGAAGAGTAAAGAAAGAAAGAAAGAAAGAAGAGAAGAACAGAAGAGTAAAGAAAGAAAGAAAGAAAGAAAGAAGAGAAGAACAGAAGAGTAAAGAAAGAAAGAAAGAAAGAAGAGAAGAACAGAAGAGTAAAGAAAGAAAGAAAGAAAGAAAGAAAGAAGAGAAGAACAGAAGAGTAAAGAAAGAAAGAAAGAAAGTAGAGAAGAACAGAAGAGTAAAGAAAGAAAGAAAGAAAGAAGAGAAGAACAGAAGAGTAAAGAAAGAAAAAAAGAAAGAAAGAAAGAAAGAAGAGAAGAACAGAAGAGTAAAGAAAGAAAGAAAGAAGAGAAGAACAGAAGAGTAAAGAAAGAAAGAAAGAAAGAAGAGAAGAACAGAAGAGTAAAGAAAGAAAGAAAGAAGAGAAGAACAGAAGAGTAAAGAAAGAAAAAAAGAAAGAAAGAAAGAAAGAAGAGAAGAACAGAAGAGTAAAGAAAGAAAGAAAGAAAGAAGAGAAGAACAGAAGAGTAAAGAAAGAAAGAAAGAAAGAAAGAAAGAAAGAAAGATAGATAGAAAGATGGATGGATGAAAACATTAAAATCAAATTGAAAGAAAACTGAACGAATGAAAAAAAGATTTTTTTAAAAAGCGGCAACCTGAAGCAAGAAAGAAAAATTGAAAGAAAGAGACTTTAATAACAAAGCGAAGGAGAATTGAACGAATGATTTTTTAAAATATACGCCAAACAGGAAGCAAGAAACAAAAATTGAAAGAAAGAAAGAAATAAGCTTTAAAATCAAAGGGAAGGAAAATTGAACGAATGAAAAAAAAGGATTAGAAAGGAAAGAAAGATAAAAAAAGAACGACAAAAAAGAAAGATAAAAAAGAAAGATAAAAAAAGAAAGAAGAGACACGTTATAGATTTAATCAACAAAATATATATAAGTATACAATGTAGTACCTCCAGGCGGTGTAATGGTTAGTCAGCTGGTCTCACTAGAAAAATTCCAACTGGGTAGTGAGTTCGATTCTCACTAGTTGCGCTCATGTGCCACGTCTAAGCTACACTTGGATTTTAAGCCGACCCTGTTTTTCAATACCTTATTTTTGAAAAATTGATTCCAATGCACCTTTGGTTTTTAAATATCACATTTTCCATCCTCAGTCCAGTGGACTATTTTTTATTATATCCAAATGAAATTTTTCCTATTTTTCAATACCTTATTTTTGGAAAATTGATTCCAATTCAGCTTCGGTTTTCAATATCATATTCTCCATCCTCATTTAAAACACTTCCCAGATATTTAAACTTCTGTACTTGTTTCATTTTGTTTACTCTATTAAAACATATTTAAAAGCGGTGAGACACTTCCAGAAGAACGTAGCAGAATCTACCATTTTTTTCTCTATATTTATTTAATACCAGCGACAGTAATAATAAAACAACAAATCGCAGCGATGGTAGATTAAAGTTGTTGCTACGCAGACTTAACTTAAAAGGAGGAAATATCTTTTTTGATAACGTCATATGAATCAGATATATAAGGCTATGGATAGTGTCGTGTCGATAAAGAAATACACAAATAAAAAAATATGGTGCCGTGACAAAAATAGTTATATGAATTATAATCATTATTTTCCTCCTTTAAACACAGACATGTGACATTCTTTCTATTGGACAAGTAGTTCACACGGACAGGTCGTCAGTACGTGCGTCAACGAAAATTTCGTCTCCTTTTCCTTTTTCAGGCCATAATAGTAATATTTATCTTTTAGCACTCAACGAAAATTTGAGGTAAAAAAACCAGACACTTTCTGTATTTTTCCAACTAAATTATCTGTTCACTCATTACACATCACTATAAAAAGAGAAAACATAAGAGAAAGACTGTATACACATTTCTTATTCTTTATCTTATCCTTCTGATGGATTTCGATGCATAATTGATCTACATCTGACGTCAAAACTGACAGTTTTACTCAGTATTACTGTCTCTCATTTTTCCAACACCACATAACAACCACTGTCAAACAGACAATAAATAATATGGTAGATATACCGAAGCACTTTTACCCTTTTATCCCAGTTTATCAGAGCTTCTGCCATCTACCCGTTGTAAAGTACTGCATATATCGACCATTTCTTGTTCATATATCTCTGGCTCATTACTTATGACTTTTCCTCGGTGATGAAAGCGTATGACGTTTTCTTGTTTCTTCATTTTTACCAGAATTTTTGTTTATATAAATGTAAGGGGTTTATATTTATAATTCCTCTACAATATATTAGATTAGATTTGAGTGATTCATTTCTTACGTGTTATCAACCCTTTGCAGTTTATTTCAAGAAAAAATAATTTTACATTGTAAGAATTTTAGAGCTAGTAATGATTTAGTCATACTTTAGTCTTACTAATTAACCCATAGCTAGAGGGAGAAGAGGTGAATTCATACATTTACCAAGGGTATTTGCGCGTAAGGGAATATAACGAACCTAACTGGAATTGAAACTCAACTCTCTAATTAACAATTCCGTGCAGATATCCATTACATCCACACATTCAAGCTTACAGCACCTAGTATTCTCAATTAGTCACCCATCCAGGCTCGACATTGCTTAACTTCGGTGATCGTACGGGAACCAATGTTTCAATGTGATATGGCCGTAACCAGATAACATGAATAACGAGCATTGTATACTGTACATATCTTTTACTTAAACACGCACCTATATATATATATATATATATATATATATATATATATATATATATATATATATATATATATATATATAGTTATGATTGGTATATATGGAATGAATTCAAATAACCAACAAATACTATTCTTAAAAGAGTGCTCAATACAAAGTAAAGCAGATATAATTATTTATATATAATAATTATATATATATATATATATATATATATATATATATATATATATATAATGGTTCTCGTTGTAGAAACCTTGGGTATTTCAGCTTGTAGTAGAACAAACCAATGCCCAAGGGAAAATAAGGGATAAAAAGAAAGAACTAAGAACATGAAATTGAGGCGAAAACAATTGTCCAGATTTCAAGCTCACTCAGAGTCTAAAGAAAAAAAAACCTCCTAAACGAGTAAAAGTAACTACGTAAAATGTTCAATACACTAAGTAGAATAAACCTAATATAAACCTAAAGAGTCAGGCAACCCTACCTAGGTTTTACCTAAACGGATCGTCAGGGTAAAGCCGGCTCTTTAGGTTTAGATAATATATATATATATATATATATATATATATATATATATATATATATATATATATATATATATATATATAGTTGGAATGATGTGAGTTTGTGACCCTGAGTTTCACGCTATCAGAATGACGATCGCAAATAGCGTGAAACCCAGGGTCACAAACTCACATCAATCCAACTAAATATGGTTAGCTCTATCACTGATATTGAGCACTTTCCAATAAATATCTCGCATATATAATATATAAATAATATATACATGGTGTCCATAAAGTTTGTGTGTACTTTAAAAATTTATAACTTTATTTGTATTTGCAATAGAAATAATTAGTAAAAAGGATAAGAAAGAAGTAAATCTATATTTTTTAAGGTTTTATTGAAATTTTATTTAAGTTTCCACATGTCCTCCATCATTAGCAATACAAAGGGTAATACGATTTTGCAGTTTAGGGAAAACATTTGCCAACTGATTTACAGTAATGCCTGAAATCACATTAGTTATTTTAGCTATACTTAAAACCAGGTACATTAAATTTTATAACATTTTTTACAGATTATTTCTATCGCAAATATAAATCGAGTTAAAAATTTTTTAAAGTGCACACGAACTTTGTTCACACGACACCCTGTATATAAAATTGCGTATATATGTCTATATATATTTATATACATACACATTTCACACACGCACACATACACTCATATATATATATATATATATATATATATATATATATATATATATATATATATTTATTTATTTACATATATATATATATATATATATATATATATATACATTATAGCAATAAAAAGTTTAGGCTTATCTTACTTTCATGATTAAAAAGAAAAACAAAAAATAAAACAAACACTGCTGAACGGTTTTGCTCACACTTAGATGGATCGAGGGATTATATATTTCAATAAAAAAATAAAACATAAAAACGATATGTAATATTAATGAAGATGGAAGACTATTTAGATTGAAATCACATTATGTCCTAACAGACACTCCCTCTGTTTCCAACACATTTATCTACAATATAAAGAAGCACGACTCAAGATGGTAAACGAGTCAATGCTAAAGTTAGCGGCATAATTATGGTTTTTAATAACAATGCTTCGCGATTGAGGAACCATATGTGTTGTTCAGAATGTCTTTTTACGTTCCATTCTTGATTTTTCTTGGTATATGCTGCTGTATTCTAGCATCTAAACGTTGGGTTGTTCTCGCTATGTAGTCAGCACTACAACTACATTTAAAATGAAACATTATTAATATAGTGGTGGATAGAAAATCCTTTCGGGTAGATGTCAAAACAGATTTGGTAGAAAACACAACACGCACGCTAGAAGAGAAATAAAAATGCTCTACTGCAGAGGGAATTTATTAGGTAAATTTCTTACTTACTCTTCCCAGCTAAGGCAAACGAAAATAAATTGCGCATTTATTAACCATACTAGTTTTAATTTCAGAAAAATCAGATACTTTTTTTACTGATAACTGACCTAAACACATCTTAAAGGATACCCCATTATTAGATAAAGTTTTCCTGATCTTTTTTTATTTCTTCATCTAATTTTGATTTTGAACAAATCATTAGGGTTCTATGTGTTAGGGTCCATATATATATATGTGTTAGGGTCCATATATATATATATATTGTGGCATGCATTCGGTGCACCAGGTTTCTGTATTCGTCCCTCCAAAAAGTGTGGCTGGTCCTGCACGAGGCCTTCACCACTATAATCAAATCTCATGTGCCGGTGTCGGGATGTTGGTTTCCTGGGGACTTATCGGCCTGACCCTCATACGTCGAACGCGACGGGAGAGTCGATTATATATATATATATATATATATATATATATATATATATGAATACATAATCTTTCCGGTAATCTACATATCTGCTCTGTTTCATATCCTAACGTAAAGATAAACAATGTTTTAGGAAATGAATTAAATCCGACAGATTTATTATTTATTTGTTTAAACGTTTTTTTAATGCCTTTGTTTACGTTAGGATACAAAAGAAAGAACACATTTAAATTTTGATAATGGAGAAAGATATGTGTTCAAGGACACTATTCGGGCTTTGATTGATCAGTAGGTCCTACGTGGCTGAGTGTAATAATCTCATAACGGTTGCCCCTAGGGGACGAAATGTTCGCATTCTCCCGGAGGACTTATATATATATATATGAAGAAAGATAGTTTTAAGATGTGCTATATTTACGTCACAACGACTTCCCATACTTAATACTTCTCGTTTTCACTCTCGCCTGGACATGCGTGACGTCACGAGCTGCGAATGAGATTTTCGCTTCCGCGTCTCGTATACACGAGTTTATCGTTGCTTTGAAATTTTTCATGCAACAAAAACAGAATATCATTATTGTTTTGTCCGTGTATTGTTTGATATATTAAGATGTAATTGTCATCTTTGGTAATGGCTTATGTAAACCGAAAGCTTAGATAGGATTAAAACAAGTATCAATATGGTGATTTGCTTTCGTCTTTCAATGATAATGTTATTAAGCTTATCAGACAATATATATATCACAGATTGAGTGCTGGTGTTAATAAAGTAGTGCTCGATGCAATATAACAGAGCTATAAACTATATATTAATAAATATACATATTCTTCCTATATACATTTTTTTCGGAGAACTCAATTCAATTTACTTGAAGAGTAATGCTTAATATATATAGATAGATATATATTGTAAACATTTAAGTGAAAGCTATATCCTATAGCAAAAATAGACTAACGATTATAGAAGTTATTTACATACATCAAAAGAACCATATATTGATAAAAATAACTATAGTCTACAGGGCTGTCAATGCTTATAAAAATAGACGTCTTTGCACGTGACTGATAAGCGTTGTCGTTGACTGTTGCTGGCATGACTCTGTGCTTTGCTACATCGGGTTCAATTTCAAAGTAAATGTAACGACACTATAAAAAAATAACCTACTTAAAAACCTTTTTTATTTTCATTGCTTCAATTCACTCTTTTCCCACCTCTTAAAATGACACATGTTTGACTAAAGCATGGCCACAGTCTTGATTTCGCATAATTTGTTTCATATGGAACAGCCATGCTTGCAATGTTGGGATGATTCACATTCAATATCTGTAATTTTCCAGAGATTTGAGAAAAAAATATTACCTATTAACATGGCAGTCGTACCAATCATTACTAGAAGACTGAGAATAGTCTGTAAGAGATTAGAAAAAAAAACTCACTGAACTAGAAAATAGCGAAAGGATTGAAATCATCTAATTCCACTAATTCCTCCTGATGTGAACACATGCTTTATACAAACAATAGCATCAATAATAAGTTCATGGACAAATTGAGAAGGATACCAAGGTCATTACGATAAATGAAATCGTGGGATAGGTTGATGAAAGGCGAATTGAAATGCGTATGAGAAAGCCTACTGATAGCTACCCAAGACCAATAACATCTACCACCGAATGTATTCGGACAATTGTAGGTAATGTGGCATGAAGGTGGAAAATATCACACACATCATTAGCGCTGATGGAATGCTTGCACAGAAAGAATACAATCTCCGCCATAATAAAGTGGTCTCTCCTCTGCATTGGAGCCAATGTAAGAAGTATTGATGAAACCGCTGACAAATGGGAGTGTCACAAGTCAGAGAAGATGATTGAGATTCCAACACCCAAACAGAGCGTCTCCTTAAGGCCACCAAAACATGCCTCGACATTCACAAAATGTGCCTCCTTGTCGACGTGTTTATTACTGGAAACCATAATATCAAGGTCAAATAAATTGACAAACTTTAGAAATAAACCGACCTCCAGAGTGAGGCTGTCGGATTAAAATTGAAGAGATCAACACGGCATTTTTTTTTATTTGTAGTTTTACGCTGTGATCATGTGACCTCGTTTTAGTTCACCATTTAAAGCGTGAAACAGACAGTCACTCAATTTCTGTATATTCACTTTTTGTATCTATATACGTTCTATCCATAATACCCGAAACTTTTGCCTCATAAATAAAACAATTTTTAAACAGTATAATCATATAATTTATATATATATATATATATATATATATATATATATATATATATATATATATATATATATATTCTTTATTCATATTTTGTGCTGTATGAATGGAACCGCCTTCAAGATGCCCTAGGCGCATTACCATAGACATGCATTGGTATTAGTCAATACTAATCATTCCAAATACCTCGGTTTAAAAAGCTTATAATAACTTAAGCATAGGAGATAAGGAAACAACATAGAATAGGCTGCGCTACGTGTAGTTTCATACAACGCCTCAAGATGCTACAAAGCGAAAACATTAACCTAAAAGCTTTAGTCATCTTAAATAGCCTTGTTCTGATTGAGGCATTCAAATAGATACCATGCATGGCGCCAAAGCCATTCAGAAATATCTAAAATGTCAGTTGCATACAACCGCTTTCTCAGATCAATGGTTAAATATGGCTTCTAGTGAATAAACCGTATATGTCTCAGAGAGAACACATCTTCGAGACTGGCGCTACAGAATCATCAACAAATAACTTTGGAAACCACACCAGTTGATAATCTTCAGCAACAGAGAAGATAATAACGTCCAAGTTAAACATGAAGTCCTCCATCAATGCTGGAAAGAGCGAGGAGTTTTACTGGACTTGTGAAACATACATTCATAAAAAATTGTTTTAATAGAAAGATTTTATAAATTTTCACCGGTAGAAACACTGATTGGTCGGTTAATAAATGGTGAATGTTTCCACCTTAGGACACGGATAAAAATTACCATTGAACATTACTATCGGCAGAGTTTATTGGGTAAAGTTATGATTTTTATGTCTGTAAAATGGAACAAGGTACCTTGAGAAGGCTAGCACATCTCCTTTAAGTAATCTTAGTCGCAAGAGTATTGCTTTTTGTCTTCTTTTTATTTAATGAGCTCGATTTTTTAGATATTTCCTGCCATATATATGGGATGTGCTGAAAAGTTTTCGACTTGCTTTTTAAATTCTGACCTAATGACATAAAAATTAATTTATAAAAAAAAATCCCTTCTTTCCAAGATCACTTCGTACTTTATTAATAGTATAAAAATACTAAAACTGTAAATATCTACATAATAAAAATCTACTTATAAATTATTTACATACTGCTTTACATCACAGGCTGTCCAAGACAACCACCTAATTAGGTCATATCGGTTTTTTCACATGTCCCCAGTAACCTGAAAACACAAACATACACACACACACACACGCACACGCGCACACACACACACACGCACATATATATAGAGAGAGAGAGAGAGAGAGAGAGAGAGAGAGAGAGGGGGGGGAGAGAAAGAGAGAGCCATATCAATTTACAAAGTAGTATTTCGTTGAACTTGTATGCGAACAGTTGTTGACCTTCGTGACTTCCTTTATGCCTCTTCTGTGCCAACATTCAAGATCAATTAATGACACGTGATAATAGGAAGCTAATTGCAAACTCCGAGATCACGTTTGTCTCCAGATAAGATCACGAACTAATCAGTGCCGAGATTTTAGAATGGATCAAACGAAATTACATGTATGTGGAAGCCATATAATATCATGGAGATCATGTTTGTTTATTTCGTTCATTTTTACTAGTTGTGGAATTTCATTTCTTTTTTTTTTTCTTGTGTCTATAAGGAGTCATTATCTCACCAAGTTATATTTCAGCTAATAATTTGAAAATTTCAAATGTGTTAATTTTTTTCAAAGTTTTCGATTAGTTTTGGTTTTATTCACTGTGGCTTTTGTTTTCAAAATTATTTAACTTTTTTTTTATTTTAATTTTTTATCAAACTAAACTAATCTATATCGGAACCATTTGCCGAGTCCCATGATTCATCATTGATGACTAATCAATAAAAATCGAAATTGCTAAATAATAATAATAATAATAATACCAGAGCAGGGATATTTAAAGAAACAATAGCAAATAACTTTTAAACATGAAATTCATCTTTGAAAAATGATATAATTAGAAATAAACATTCTTATGTTTGTTGTTCTCAAAGTTTTAAATATATTTTTTCATATATTGTACGTAATTGAATATTTTCGTATTGCTTATTTGTTTTTACGGATTATTGCCCGGTTTCATATTGGATAATATGTTTGAAAATTACTTGATGCCTCATAAAAAAATCTTTCCTTTATTTGTTCATTCGAATTTCTTTGTATAATTCTTTGCTGTCTTTAAAGCTTTCTTGATTTCTCCTTTCTTCTTTCGCAATTTAATTCTTTCATCTTTCTTTCTTAAATTCCTTTCCTGTCATCCTCTTTCCTTTCGTTTCTTTCTTTCTTTAATGCTTCACATTCAGCTTCACTCTCTACGTTTCTTTCGAGTTCAAATGCAAGTGCTCCTGTACTTGCAAATAATATGCTTCCAAGTTTTCGTGTTCGTTCGCAAATGTCTGAGAGAAAAATTATCGTTGGTTGTTTGAAATTGTCGTTAGTTCTTCCTTATTCAACTTCTAAACTGATCATCTCACTTTTTCAGCTGAAGTAAATCTAAACAGATGTTTAAACGAAAAGAGAAGACCTGACTTCTCTACAGACAACAAAGTTTCAAGCGAATCTAAAATAAGGTTTAGACTTCCAGATCTGCAATAGCAAATGATCCACAAATATAACACGTAATATCTATCTATCTATCTATCTATTATTCATATAACCCCATATATATATATATATATATATATATATATATATATATATATGTGTGTGTGTGTGTGTGTGTGTGTGTGTGTGTGTGTGTGTGTGTGTGTGTAAAAAAAATGTTGTAGCCTTGTTAGGGCCAGAAATAAAGACACTAGACAGGAATTGGAGAGAGGAGTTTCCAGCAGTCAGCTGTGACAGTCGGGCCGAACATTCTTGTTGTAACACACCTCGTTTGTATTACTGTTTCTGTTAATATATTTGTATAAATCACTTCCTCTCTTGTATTTTTATTTCTGGCCCTAACAAGCTACAATATATATATATATATATATATATATATATATATATATATATATATATATATATAATTATTTATTTAAAAATATGATTCCAACACGCTACATATGAGGTCTCGTACTCTACTTTTGTATCGAGCACTATTTTTTAAAAACAATAACAAAAACTAAAGAACTTTGGATTATTTACCTAACCAGTCCTTTCCTATTTTATATATATTTTAGCACACACACACACACACACACACACACATATATATATATATATATATATATATATATATATATATATATATATATATATATATATAAGGCACGGTGGAGTAGTGGGTAGCAGCTCAGATTGAGGAATCAGAGAGCCGAATTCATTAAATTCACTTATGTGCTAATACACTTGGGAAAGCACTCTTTCTCCCGCATCTATGAGTAAATAGCAGGACAGACTGGGTTCTATAGCCTTGGATGACAACTGGTCTAGGAGAAGGACAACTCTGAATTCAAAACCTGCGGAGGGTCGTTTGGGGAACTTGTGGCATGTAGTGCACCATTTTTTTTTGTATTCATCCCTTCAAAAAGTGTGATTGGTTATATATATATATATATATATATATATATATATATATATATATAAAAAATAAAAAAAGATTACTAGAAGTAAACTTATATTTTAAAATAAAATTTTCATCTTTTCATGTACTTTCTATGAATATTTTTCTAATCGACTATTTCATAGAAAATCCCCAAAATTTAAAAGAAAATTTAAATCACTAACAAACATCAAATTAAATTATTTGTAGACAGTTTAAAGGCATTCAAATTTATATCAAACATTATAATCTTTATGAACCCCCAAAATAACACTTTCAAAGTAAAACAAAATAACAGCGTCTTTTTCGAGCCTTTTTTTTTCCAAAGAAAATTAGTGACACCTTCTCTCATGACTTCCTTCTCTCTTTTTCTTTTTATGTGTTTTTTCTCATCTACCCCTTCTATATCAATATATAACTTCCATTAAGTTAACCGTTTAAATGTGTCAATGTCTGGACCCCCCTAGTAATTTTAAGTATGAAATAATAGAAATATTAAATTACATCTAACACACTCATGTCTTCTCTCTCCCCCCTCACGTCCTCACTTCGTTAATTTACATATGCTTAATACGGCCCGTCAAAATGTGTAAATTTCTTTTCATTTTTTGTTTCAATTTTTGGAAGTAAAGTCTGATGATCCGCAGTCCTTTAAAAGGGCTGTGGTGAAATAATTTATTAGATGGAACCTTAAAGTGGTCTGTTTTTATTTAAATTATTTGCTCTGAATTTACATTGAGCTCTCTGGATTTATCCTCCTTGGGTCTACCCATACGGATTACCTAGTTTTTCATAAACTACCTATATATATATATATATATATATATATATATATATATATATATATATACTATTATTATAATTATTATTATTATTCATATAACCCAAAATAAATGCCATAAAGTTTAATATCCGGGTTTAATTTTATAAAACTTCTTCCCTCCAAGACAAATACCTTCCACCTTCCCTAGACCTCTGTCTCGTGCCTTTCGTCTGACTTAAACATTGATATGGATAAATTCTGTCTTAGTTTTTTCGACTTTTTTTTATTTTAGCTTTCATAGTTAAAATTCTATTTCTGACACGAACTCATTTGATACGGGCTTGATAAGACAGATGACTTATATCTTCGTCTGCCGAAAAATGCTATTCCGCATATAACGTGATTTTGGATTTCATTGATTATTAATTATATATATATATATATATATATATATATATATATATATACAGTAGCGGTCATAATATAAGGAACGGAAACAACAAAGACATAAATATGTGTATTACTTAAAAAGTAATGCATGATTAGCAATGAAATTTTTACCGAATAAAGATTAGGGTGGAATGCATAAATGTTATACAAAGTTACAAAAATTTACATAATTGTTTTTTTTTTTAAATGAAGATTAAATGGAACAAAGAAAATAAGCTACTGGACAAAAGTAAATTGCATTGAGTTCTCTGAAATGCTGGCGTAATTCGTACAGAGAAAAACGTTAAAATTCTCTTCATTTCCGCCGTGCGATGATGGCCTAGAGGTAAGATATCTGGCTGATGTAAAATCAGTCGGTTTTCAATCGGATGTCGAACCACGCTGAGGAGCTGTGATACAGCAAAACTATATATATATATATATATATATATATATATATATATATATATATATATACACGAGGGTGAGCTGAAAAATTAATTGTCTGGCTATGAAAAAGTGATGCTAAAGGGGTGAAAGAGTGCGTGCATTAATTTCAACTTTTCTAAATCCCTGTATTGTTGTCTGTCTATATTTCTGAGAGGAGGTATCATGTACATTATTTATATTATTCGGAGTATTGTCCTCGTCTTTGTCGCCATTTATATTACAAGGAGACATGGAGCAGTGGATAAAGGCATTGGTTAGATCCAGTGACAGGACCCAAAGAGTGTGAGTTCAATACCCGGTTAAAGCAGTGGAGAACTTTCAGAGGGAAATTAATAGGAGATAACTGATAACTGACATTGTGGAATTAGAACAGTGTACTCCAGTGAGCGAAATAAAGGTTCGGTCACCTGAAGAAGGCCGGAGCGTACAATGGCCGAAACGTTGTAATAAATATGGCGACAGAGAGATGAGGACAATAGTCCGAATAATGTAAATAGTGTACATAATACCTCATCTCAGAAATATAGACAGATACTGAAGGGCCGAAACGTTGTAATAAATATGGCGATAAAGATGAGGTCAATAGTCCGAATAATGGCCTGTATTTTTTCTTTCCATGTAAAATGAAATCTGACTGTTCAAAGAAGACTTCAAAAGTAACTAGTTGCGAAAATTTGGCAATATGGTGTTATCAAGTCCCTGCGGGAAAAGGGTTTAGCTCCCAAGGACATTCATACTAACATGGTTGCTACGTTAGGGGATGACGTCCCGGCTTTATGAACAGTGCAAAAGTAGGCAGGTGAATTTAGGAGGTAAAAAGGAAAAGCTTGAATATGACTCAATGTCTGAACGTCCTGCAACTGTCACCATCGCTGAAAACATTGATTATGGTGAACACAATCAATGTTTTCAGTTATGGTGGCAGAAGCCACATGCTGATGAATGACGGATGATTGACTATAAAATTAAATTACCAATGCTATTAGTATATCCCGTGAAAGTGTTGACAGTAGTCTGTGAAATGAACAGAGCATGAAGAAGTTTTTAGCTCTTCTGACACTGCTTCTGAATTCTTATCAAAAGCGCAAAGGCTGATCACATCTGATGTTTGTTCGAAAAAATTCCAACCGGTTTCTTTG